GCAGGGAAGGAAGGAAGGAAGGAAGGAAGGAAGGAAGGAAGGAAAAACTAAAAGCAGAAACTCCACCAGTTTTTCAGAGGTGGGAACAGACAGGAAGAAGCAACATAAGTGCCGCCAATGGGACCAGGTACAGGTTGCGTGAAGGCTCTCTTCCAACCCAGAACAGAGACGAAACTGAAGGCGCAGTGAAGGCTCAGCTGGGCAGATTGAAACCTTCCTTTCCTAATCTAACTTACCGTCTTCTAAAAAGCTTGAGAAATTCAGTTGCTGGTGGGTTTTTTTAGACTTTTGTTCCAAGAATTCTTTTTTCCCCCATGTAGACTTTGCAAAGGTGGCCAATTCCCAGCTGCGGGGATTTTGGGGAATCCCAGTTGAAACGTCAACCTTTTCCAAGATCCATTCTCTCCCCCCCCCACCCGTTCGCCCACTCATTCCTGCTCTTCTCGCTCTCGCTCTCTCTCTCTCTGTGTGTGTGCCAGTCATGCCCTCCAGTCCGCCCCTGGGTGCCTCCTCCATCACCAGCTCCTCCACGCCAGGGGGTGTCTTCTCCTTCTCCCCGGTCAACATGATCTCCGCCGTCAAGCAGAAAAGCGCCTTCGCTCCCGTGGTCCGGCCACAAGCCTCCCCGCCGCCCACCTGCACCAGCGCCAACGGGAACAGCCTCCAGGGTGAGTGGGTCTGGCCTCAACCGTTGGTCGCAGCCCGCAGCGTGGCCTGGGAGGCTGAGTGACACATGCCATGTGGGGTGGAGGTGCACCCTCTTTCCTTCTCATTGAGGGGTGGGGTGGGGAAGCTATCACGAACTCCTAATTTAATTAGGCCGATTGTTACAGCACCTCCTCCCTTTTTGACGCCGGTCCTTGCGGGACACTGGCTGTCTCTAGAAGCGCAGGGTTCCTGTTGTGATGGGGGAATTCGCAGCCGGTCCCGGCTGCCTTTCTGCGTAGAGATTTCAGAGAGGGGGGGGGACCTTTCCCCGTCTCTGGACAGGCACAGAGGCTTAAGTGTCACTGCCTCCCAGGACGTAATCCCTCTTTGATCCTAGTAGAGCTCCCCTCTCCTCTTGGTGAAGTCCGCCGTGACCGGAGGGGGAAAGACAATTGGAGGCACACAGATGGCCTCAGTGGGCCTCAGGCAGCCCAAAGCTGTGCGCCCTTCCTCAGAACACCTTTCCAGGGCTGCTCTTTCTCCAAGTACAGCTTGCACGTGTTGCTAATGGACAGCAGCCTGGCTCTCTTTCCGAGGGGAAGCTCTAGATGGAGGCTAGAATCTCGCTTCCCCTGAACCAGTTGTCGTCTTTTGCAACTCATATTTAAACATGGGGTATTCGTATTCATCCCCCTGGGCGGACAAATCCGAATATCGTCCCCGTCAGTGCCTGGGAAGGCCAGTCCTTCTCCCTGCCTCCGAACTGGCAGGTCTACTTACCACTCGCCACACGGCATGCACGGACAATGTGCTTCTCATGGCACCACTTTGGGAAGGAGCCCACCCAGCACTTCCCCGCCTCCCCAGGCAGCTGACCCACCCTCCCCCAGCAAAGAACCAGGACGACGAATCTTCCGTCACAGCTGTTGAAGGTTGGCCATGTGAAGAGATGGGGAGATGCTGGCCAGGCTCCTTCCGTGATTGGCACAGTGAGAATGATGCCAGCCGTGCACATTATTATTGTTGTTGTTGTTGTTGTTGTTGTTGTTGTTGTTGATGTTGTTGTTGTTGTTGTTGTTAAGGGGAGGGGTGCCTCCAGTGGAACCCTTGCTATCTTTCCCTTACTGTCCTTCATATTTTAATTTTTTCCGTTGTTTCCCTTTTCTTACCTGCTCTTGCTTTCCCTTTCCTTCCTTCCTTCCTTCCTTCCTTCCTTCCTGCTCTTTGCTTGGTCCTGCTGACCAGACCAAACCTTTGAGGATTCAGCAGACAAGTTCCACACACCGTCTCGGTCGCTCCAGGGAATGGCTTATACCTAATCACAGTATGTTCCTTCTCTCTCATTCTCCTTCCTCACGCTCCCGCCTCGCTCTGTCGGCTTTCTCTCTTTTTCTGCTCCTCCTGGCCAGAAACAGGTGTGACTCCATAACAAAAACCTTGCAGGACTTTTTCTGTTGCTCACTAGAGTAGAGAGTTGTGAGAGGCTTACTTTGGATTTTTTTAAATGTATTGTATTTACTGACTTTCCAGACGGAGAGCCCGTTCGACGCAATTTTCAAGATTAAAAAAAATTACAAAGATTTACAAACATTTGCAAACTCAAAATACCAGTAATATATATAGATAGACTGATATTTCAAATCTATTCAGCAACAACGATAAAATTATCAGCAGGTATGTTTTGGAGATTTCTGGGCATCGTGGTTCAAAAAAGTAACTTTTCCAACCTCTGGATGGAGGGAGGGAGTTGATTTGGTATTGGCTGGCTGGCTGTCTCAACAGGCCGCTCGGATATTGGCATGCTGAATCCTACTGAGCAGTGCACATGCGCCGCATCAAACCCTGGGAGCCACCACCTTGGAGGCCCTGGCTAAAGTCTTCCACGTGCTCCAGTGGGGAGTAGACACATCCTCGTGGGATGCTTGATAGCCCCAATGTTTCTGTTGATTTCTGATGAGAAATTTTTATCACAATATAGGCATAAAGGGAAGGTCCAAAGAGGAGTGGTAGCTAAGCCTTTCCATCTCAATAGGCAGAGAGGACCCAGAATTTTCCACATGCTGAGACAGAAGGCATGGTGAATTAGCCCATGATTTGGCCACATGCAGAACCTCAAAGAATCCACAGGTAGAGCTTGGGGAAGTTTCTGAGAGATCCTGAGAGCTGTGGTATAAGTAAGGTATGTAGGGAATATAATCCCTAGGGAACCGTCGCTGAGGACCAGCCCCAGGCAACAGTTGAACTGAACACCAGGGAGAGATCTCTGATAGAATGAAGACAGACAGACTGCAGTCTTTAGTTTTCACTAAATACTTCCTACAAAGGTATTGAAACGCCAGCTAATACAGCTAGTGCAAAGGCGTCAAGTACGTGTTGCTTGCCTGGTGCCGTCCAGATGTACAGATTGCACTGCAACTCCCAGGATCCTGCAACAAACTAAGTGATTTGGGGAGTTGCAATGTGCAAGACACCTGGAGGACACCAAGGGGTGAGACAACGGCAGGTACTGAGTCCGTGACCGGTCCGTCTCCCATCCACATGCAATGACCCGCATCCTCTTTGCTTTCCAGCCTTGTCGGGTCTCATCGTACCGCCCATGTGAGCAGAGAACGGAAGATGGAACCTCTGGAAGGATGGACCAATGGACTGGCACTGGAATTGGACCCTTGAAAAGGGTGCGGCCACCCTTTCCGAGAGGCGGGTTTCTGGGGCGCCCCTCCCGGTTCCTTCCAAGCTGGCGGCGTCGTTGTACAAAGGGCTCCCCCTTCTGGTGGGAGGCTTCCGTGCAGCCGGAGAGGCAGTGGAAAGTCTACCACTGAGATTTCTTGACCATGATTTGAGTTGTGTCTTCCCCAAGGCGGAGGAGGATAACCGGGGGTGGGGGGGTGTCTTTGAGGGGCATTCGTCACTACCACCCCTTTCTTCATGGAGTGCTCTCCCCTTCCCTCAAGCCTCCAGAACTCCTCCTTGCCATCCTGGTGGTGGTGGTGGTAAATCACATGAGGAAGGACCCCATCATCTCCTCTGGTTTCTCCCTTGAGTTGGCTTTGCTCCCCTGCTGCAGCCGGGACTTTCCTTCCAGACCTTCTCGTTTTGATACCTACGGGATTCCCCATGTCAAGGGAGAGATGCTCCTTTTCGAAACCGGACCCTTCTCGTTCTAAGCGGTTGATGATGATTCCCATGCTCTTGGGCGGACACGGCAGGAGATTGGAATCGGCAGGAGGGTGGAGGCGTTCGGTCCACCTTGGGCGGCTTCCATCTCTCTGGCAGGAGGTCCCTCCCAAAGCAAGCTGGTTTGCGTTACGTCGACCCCTTCTTCCACCACCCCCTCCTTGCCAATTTGGACACCACTTCCCAGCGAGGGGAACAAAATCAGCCTTCCAAACACAACCCTGTATGACTCCTCTCTCTCTCCTTTTATTTTCCCCACCCCGCCCCACCTTGCAGGCTGACTCCCAAGTGAACACAACATAAATCCTCCAGCATTACAAGGCTTGGCCACCGATGTAGGTGCTAGGGCTTTTCTTCAGACAAAACAAAAAACCAGTTAAGATTTGCTGATGCTGGAGAAAGCTCCTCCGTCCTGGGCTTTTTGGCTGTCCGAAAAGCCCGTTTCCTAGGAGCCCCTCTCAGCCCGAGTCCTGTTCGCCCGTGTCTGGGTAGATTTCTGGAGAAAAGCAAAAGCTTCTTGCAGGGTCAGTCCGTGGGCAGAGAGAACACTGGCGGATCCCGCACGCTGTCCTCTGCTCCAGCCTTGGCCACATCCCCTTGAATCATTCCAGATGTCAAAATGGCCACCCACCAAATCCTCCTGGGGTGTCCTCTGCTCTTTCCCTCTCCCCCCCGGCCCCCCGTTAGCAGGAACACGCCAGCCCTTTTCCTCTGCTCCCTGAAATCAGAAAGGACTTAGCACGTCAAAGCTGGATTAATTAAAAGTTCTCTTCAGGCAGAAAGAAGGAGGGGAAGGAGGTGCTGTTGCCAACCACGACGTGTTGCAGGAGCACCGAAGCCCCCACCGTGGCCAGCTTTGAATAGGACCAAGGCAAGGGGCCACGGTCAGGTGGCACCGCCATTTGCAAACATGTTGTTCGTGGAGGTGGAGTGTGGGTCCACCCTCCCCAAGGAAACGGTCGCTTTGGGACAGTGGCCAGCCAGGTGATTTCCAGAACCCACCGAGATGTTGCTTGGATCAGAAAAGGCCCGATCCACACCTGGGAGGGGGGTTTCCGGTGGCCACCAGCCAGGATTGCTTGCTACCAGCCTGGGCAGAGTGGGAGTGGGGGGGAGGGACTGGGGGGGAGGAGGTCTTTTTCACCCAGAAGCACAGACCCTTCGCCGCCACCCCAAAATTCCAGAGATTCGGAATCTCTGTGGATGTAACCCATCCTGAACCCATCCCTGATCTTCCTTACAGACCCCTGTGATCACCCTAGAGCAGTGGGGAGACAATGGGGGAGAGGCCTTTCCGGAGGCAGGTGAGGGAGGATTGAGCCACCTGCCTCCCCCAGGACAGTTCCCACCCACCCCCCAGTGAAGACTCCTCAGTAACCCAGATCTATCATGCTGTTGGAGCCTTGAGTGGATTCGCGGTCATCTCGGTTTTCCCTGCAGAAGCTCTTCCTTGCAGACCTGCCAATGCTGGCTGGGTGGCCCTCTGAGGAGGATGCTTTGGCCACCGTTTCTTTGCCTCGGCAGAAGGGGGCTGGTTACTAGGTGAGGTTATCTTCTCCTCTCCCTAATTCTAGGAATACAAAATGCTGTTAAGATTTGCCCGTGTGGATATTCCGTAGCCTCCAGCTACCAACGAGGAGGGGCGGGAAGAAGACGGGTGGACCTTTTCTTCAGGGTTCAGCCTGAAACCTCTTGCAGTTGGTGATTTCACCCCACCCCACCCCACAGCCCCATCAGCAGCCACACCGGCTTTTGGTCGTGCCTTTTCACGTTCACCCAGCCCTCACATCTCAGCCCACGAAAGGAGTCCACCGACAGCCTTCACCGTGGCTTCCTTTTAATGGCAAGAAATAAATAGCAGTTCCCCCCCTGTGAGTCATGAAAGGTTTTTGATTTTTTTTTCCCCTTACAAAAACTCAAAATTAAAAGCATTCAGCTGTAATTTGACACCCCCCCATATATTATTGCATTTTACACCCACCTGAAGGATACTCAAATCCTTATCAGTTTCTCAGTGCACTGCTTTTTACATTCAGCTTTTTTAAAATTTTATTTAGAAGAACGTCTTGTATTAAACCAGTGAAATACGGACCTTTTTTGGTTGTTTTTTAAACTCGGTGTGGGTTGTTTTTTTTCTAATTTGGATTTTAAAAAGAGGGGGCAGAAACCAGCAGGAGGTTCTTCCGCACATCCCCTTCTACCACGAATGCATTTTGTGGAAGCGAGGCTGTTGTTACGAAGGCTTTCCTCTTCGGCTTGTGCCCCCCCGGAATTCCAGGCATCCTTTCCTAGGCTCCCACAGTTATTTTTCTAGCATTATTTCCTCGTGGGAAGAAGGGGAGCAGATATTTGTAAATAAAGTCAAAGAGGGAAATGGCCCCAAAGGTTGGGGTGGGACTTGTTCTCTGTATTTATCTCTGTCGTACGGAGGGTTATTCTCCTGTCTCATGTTTCCTTTGGTATATTTGTTTCCTTTTTAAATGTTATTTTTTTATTATTATTATAATTTTTCTTCTACAATGCCCATTGTGTGTCCTGTGATGGCTGTTGTACAATAGCAATGTTGATAAATACCTGGCTGCACTGTTTTTCAATGTAAGCACATGTAAATGAACTGTTAGCATCTTTTCTTAGGAAATTGGCCCCCCGAATATATCTGTCTATACCTCCTGCACATGCTTTTTTGAGAAATGTCCCCTCTTTGGTTTACACCCAGTTCCTGCCTCTCAAGCTGGCAGATCAGAGGACTTTTCACCGGTACCCACGCGTTAGGTTACACCCCCAAATTACCTTTGCCAGGTGGATCCTTCTGCACGCATGGGGACAGGGATCGTCCGCGTCACCAGCGGCATGTGGCGGGCCCTCGTCTCCCCGAGAGGCTGACGGTTGCCTTGAATAATGTGACCCCCCTCTTAGCCAATAAATGGTGCTTAGAAAAGTTACTTAAGAATAATCTTAGAACTGCTTCTTCAACTACTGTGGTGCACTAGGTCTCCCTAAGGAGCGCCCGGCACTCGGTCAGAGAGTTCAACCGGCCACTGACCGACCACCTTTGCACTGGGGCAAGTCCCAAGACCTCAGCAGTGTGTAGCGTAAGCCCTTCGAATAAGTCTGACCTTAAAAGAACACTTTACTTTTACCCAGTACTTTGCAAGTACAGACACATGGGCTTTGTGATTCTTTGGAACTCGGCTAGGTAGGACTCTTAAAGACAGCTAGTTTGTGGCCCTCTCCACTTCCTGGATTTAGCCAGACCCCGCTGTTCAAGAGACCAGTCCTTTTGTGCGAATTTTTGTAATTAATTTTTATTATAAAAATAGAGTTTCATAGAATCAGTTTATATTGCACAAGCTTTAGCATAAAGAACATACTCAAGGAACATTGTGGTGTCTAGTCGCGCTGGCCACGTGACCATGGAAACTGTCTACGGACAAAACGCTGGCTGTACGGCTTGGAGACGGGGATGAGCACTGCCCCTAGAGTCGGACACGGCCGGACTCGATGTCAAGGGGAACCTTCTTACCTTTACCTTAGGGTGCTTAACAGTGGGGTGCAGGGGAGGGGAATAAAGCTATGTCAGCACAGAAAGAGCTCCTCTACAAACTGCAAATCCCATGATTTGGCCAGGGGAAACGCCAGCCACAGTATAGACACAGTGAAGCAGCCTTTGTCCACATCAGCACAATAACCCCGCGATCCTCTTGGCCGGTTCTGGTGCCACAATTAACTATTGTGGGTTCCATTCTGGCATTCAGCTTCAGAATGGTTCTACGCGTGCATATCCTTTGGAGATAGGGTGGGGAACACATTCTGTCCCTTGACTCCGGAACAGGGTTGGCTGGACACCAATTCTGGTTCCGATCCGAAGATGGCAGCTGTGTGCTCCCACAGGCCTGCTTTTCTGCACGTTCTGGCTTGGGATTCCCATTTTCCAGCTCCTTTGTCAGCATGGTTGCTCAGAAAAATCAAGCCTGAACTTTCTCTGGAGTCCAAAATGATTCAACGGAGGCTGTCCTACTTTTGGCACTTCATGAGAAGGCAGGATTCTCTGGCAAAAAAAAAATAATAAGGCTCGGAAAGGCGGAAGGCAGCAGGAAACAAGGAAGGCCAAATAGGAGATGGACTGGCTCTCTAAAGGAAGCCACCACTTGAGTTTGCAAGAGCTGAGCTGGGTCGTTGAAGACTCAACTCATAGGGTTGCCATCAGTCGGAAGGGACTTGATGCCACGTGACAACAATTAACAACCAGAAAATGAAAGCTTTCACAGATCTCTAAAGTCCTTGGTCACCAGGCATCCGTTGTGCAATCCCTTTCTTCAAAGGGAGATGGGCAGGCCAAGCTGACAGTTCTATACACTCTGCAGATGTTCAGAGGGACTCTTCTGATACAACTTTTCCGTCTTCTGAGTTCACTGAAATTAAAAAAGGAAAGGGTTTGTTCTAAGCCTGAATCTGATGGTGAAATGTTCTGCACCATCAGATTCAGAATCTGGGTAAGGGAAGGACCAATGAGTGAAATGTTCTGCACCATCAGATTCAGAACACAGGGAGGGAGAGCGGGTTCAACATCTGGCTGTTCTTATAGGGATATGATCCATTCCTCGTATGAGATGATTTGAAGTGTTAGGCTGATGATCATCTGCCAAAGTTTTGGTGCAAGGTCAAGCTGAGCCTTCAGCTGCAAATCTACACAGTCCCTTGAGATAAGACGGTTCACACCAACAATTGCCAACTGATGGAGCGCAGAAGCCCAGCACGTTCTTGTGCTTTTAAGAGAAATTTGCCCCTGCAGCACAAACGAGCAGGGGGATTTGTCCCCCCCCAAGGGAAGGAGGAAAGGGTCATGTCAGAAGGCACAGGAGCACGGCCCCTGAGAAAAGGTGGCCACTTGACTCTCTCCAGGGCTACAAAGAGTTAGAACGGAAGAGTCTGCGGTGGCCGATGGCTCTCCCGTCTTTCCACGTGCATCCCCACCAGCCGGAGAAAGAGGGTGGTGGGTGGAAGGGACGCGTCGAGGGCAAAGCAAGGTCAAAGCCTGGGCTTGGCCGCTCTGGAAGATGCTGAAACAGCAGCTGAGAGGCCCAGGGAAGGGGAGAGGGGGTGGCAAATGGGGAAAGAAGAGTCCAGAGAGAGCCGGAGGAGGCGTTCGCGTGGGGAGAGGCCAGCTGGGCGAAAGCCAGGGCACCCCACGGGATCCCCACCGCCAAGCAGCTGGGAGAGCCAAGTCTGGGGCTACCCGGGCAAACCACTGCCCTCGGTGGGCAATGCGTCGAAGGGAGACCGGCCTTGCGGGTCGGTGGGGATGGCCGACCTGACAGGGGTGAAGGGAACCGATTGAGCTCCCTGGCCGTGCCAAGCGGAAGGGAAGGCCGTTTCCCCATTCTCCCCTGCTGTGCTGCTGCGAATGGCCTGGATGCTACTGACCCCAGAGGGAGTCCCAGCGGATGCCGCCCACACCTGGCATGCGGCATAAAGCTTGCCCAGCTTTCCTTCTCCCTATTGCAAGCAAGCTGTAGAGACGGGCAGAAGTGTCAAGGCCTGAAGGCCAGAGGACAGCTGGCCTTTTGACCCCTAAGCCAGCTCTGTTTGCTGGCCGCCAGCTGCTGACCGCTGTCTTAGGATGACCGTTGAATGCAGGATGGTTGTGGGGTGGGGGGGCAGAAGGCTTGGAATGGGCAGGCCGCGGGAAAGGCAGCTGTGGGGTAGCCACCCTTTCTTTCCCCCAAAGGATGGGGGATTGACGATTTCAGCCCCCCTTTTCCCATTCTAAAAGATGCAACATTCTCTCTTAAGGTTCAGTTACTGACAATGAAAAGCTTCAGTCTCAAATAGGCTGGTATATATTTCACCCCATCCTTCCGCTTTTGGCCCACCATTCGCCAGCTTGCGGCCCTGGGAAATTTTCTGAAACGGAATGGGTCTCTCTCGGGCTGAGATACGTCCTCATCCACCCAGCCCTGTGCCGTTCCCAGCACTTTAGGTTCTCCAAGCCTTTTTAAACGAACCTTACGAAACGGTTTTGTAGAATGCGGATCTAACACACACGACTCTGCTGAGGAAACATCCGTGCCCACAAAACTGATACCCATCGAGGCAAAA